GGATTGGCCCTAAGCATTGAATACTGTATTTGCCCTGTCAAGTCTTGAATGGAGTCATAGAATACTGGGGTCAGATGAGGAAAGCAAACTTGTCACAGGAGGAAGAGGGGAGCTTTGAAAGGCAGATTGGCATCTATTACCTCATGTGTGAGCTATTTGTGTTCAGCAAAAGAGAATTAAGAAGAAACAGCTGATGGGAGTGATCACTTACCGTTGCACTCATCCATGCTCAGGGGAGACTGAGACAGGTGCTGGAAGTCATGAGTCCATATACCTCTCAAGATGTGAGCATCTCACCATTTGGACTGGAGTTTCAGGGTTTCAAGGGATGCAGTTTTCATTTGTCTAGCTGAGAGTCAGTGACTTAACCAGTAAAACAAACATGCTCTGACCCAACATGGGAGGGAAAATGTGTTGTTTTCAACTTACTGAGAGGTGGACAGTGTCCAACAGCATGCTTCCTACAGATCCTCCTAGAATAATTTTGACTCTGACTTTACGCTCTTCATTGAATCTCACACCCTTCAAAGACCTTGACCATCTACTGGAATTCCTCTTAATTCTGCCATTTTACTAGGTCAAATCAACACATTGGTACAGCAGATGCTTGACAATAGGAGCCAAGACTAGAAGAAAGGTCTGGCGATTGTGTTGCATAGACCATTCCTCAATAATGTGGAGGGAAGTTGATGGCTTACTGAGAAAGGAACATTTTATTGTTTGAAATTATGACAGTCCTAACAAATGCACACAGCAATTGAATTAATATTCAATGATGTTTTAGAAAAGAGATGTGGAATGTAAATGATTTTTCTATTGTTCTTAGGGTGGAGCAAAATGCTTATTAAATTCTAGATGCATCCAGCTGCTTCATTTCCTGAATGCTGAGGGCATAGGGAGGAATTCTGGGCATGGAGACATGCCTCTGTATTTGAATCTGATGGCTGGCAGAGTGGGTGGGAAGGAAGGGCTGATGTGCCAGCCTTCACAACTGGGGTAGGAGGCTTGGTTGCCTTCTTATAACCCTATGGGGATTGTTTTATTTAATACATTTCAATATCATTTCTTGTCATGCTTTTAAAAGGTTCAGCCCATTTTACTGAATATTGACTCTGATTAGACAATGTTGGTGTATAGCTACCCCTTTTATATCCAGGTGCCCAAAGTCTTTTTCTATAATGCACAGCCTACCCTTTTAAAACCTTATCAACTTCACAGGACAACTTACTTTAAAGGTACCTTAAGCAGTTTGATTATATGTTTCTGTGAATTCTGGGGAGTAAGACAGCTCTTAAACGCTGACATTTTGTTAACAAAAGGCACTGGCTGAGTAAGATTTTTTTTTCCCCTCTAAATTCACAGCTAAATTTTGATCCAGCTGAAAAATAGCTGCCTTTAATACATTCCTAGGTTCTGGAGTTATGAAGAAAGTTTCCAAGTTGACACTCTATATAAAACACTGCTAAAGAGGCCCTTGTTGTAAACTTGGTCACACTCAGAGTAGGGAGGGAGAGAGGCTAACAGGAAGTTTCAGGGGGAAATTTCCAGCATTGCGTTCGCTTTGGTCATCACCCAGTGTGTAATCTCTTTTTGGTAGGATGTTAGTATTCTCCTTCAGTAGGAAAAAGCATGCATCTCCCTAAAGTAGGAGCTGCACTGGGGAGCAGTCTTGATGGAGCTGTTTTGCATTCCAGTTACAGAATTTGCTCGAGTGTTTTATTTTCTTTCATGTTGTATCCATAGACTGTCTTTGCCTTCTGCATTGAAGTGGCCAGAAACTCCTTTTAATTCTATTACATAAGCACTTTGTGACTTGACTTTTGGACCCTGTCTCTCTGGATTTTTTTTTTTTCTGGTGTATATGTAGTGTGTGTAGGTGAGCATGTGTTCACGTTGTGCATGTGTGCGTGTGGTACATGTGCATGTGTGTGGAGATGGATTTTCTTCCTCAGTAGTTCTCTACCTTATTCTTTCTTCCACATGCTTTTTGTATTGTCTTGTTTTTTCAGACAGGGTCTCACTATGTAGACCAGGCTGGCCTTGAAAACACAGAGATCTGCCTACCTCTGTCTCCTGAGTGCTGGTATTAAAGGTGTGTGCCTCCACACTGGCCTGGCTCTCTACCTTATTCTTTGAGACAGGGTCTCTCACTGTACCAAGAGCTTACCAATTCAACAAGATTAGCTGGCCAGTGAGTGCTAGGGATTCACCTGTTTCTGGCCCCTCCCCCAGCACTGCCATCTGAATTTTTATGTGGATACTGGGAATCTGAACCTAGGTCATCATTCTTGCACAGCAAGACATTTATCAACGGAACCATTTTTCCAGGCCCCACCCCCTGATCTTTTTCAACACTCCTGATGGTTGTCTCAGGTCTGCTGCTGCCCTCCTTAGCCCATCTGTTAAGCTACTGCCCAAATCATCTTCCCAGAATGTAGATCTGAACAACAAGACCACCAAAGCTTCTCTAGGGCTGCTCACATTCCTTATCTCACAATATGCCATTGTGTTGTAGTAGATAGTATAGAGCAATAAAGCCCATGGTCTCAGCAGGACACACCTGTCATTCCCGGTGCTCCCCCCCAGCTTCCTTTGTCCCAAGAGCAGTAGAGTATTTAGAATCCAAATATGTAAACACAATGCCCCCATTCTTTCATGCTCCCTGTCTTTATACAGGATGTCCCCAGCTTGTTTGCCTTGGATGCTCTTCCCTTTCTTATCTACCTGCACTAACCCCATTTATCTTTTAGATTCATTGTAGATGCTATGTCCTCTGGAAGAATTTCTCAGGCCATCCCCTCTCAGTTTCCCTCAGTAGAATGTACCCTTCCTCTTTATGCCAGCATAAAGAGGCACATTCTACCTCCACCATCTATACCTAGTTACTTACATGCCCATTTCTTGGTGATGAGCATTTTTGAGACTGGGGATTGTGCCATTTCATGATTGAGTGATGAGTGATAAACTGGCTAGTTGTAGCCTATTGAGTGGAAAAAGGTGACACTGAATGTTATTTGTCCTCTCAGAGTCATGCAATATACAGCTAGAACCCAAAGAATTTGGAGCCCTTTGGAAAACTCTGTTAGTCTTTTCATCAGCCTAACAAAATACCTGACACAATTAGCTTCTGAAGAGAAAACGTTGGCTCAGAGGTTACAGTCAATGGTTAAGAAGACCCATGGCTATTGGCCTTCAGTGGCAGTGCTAATGGCAAGGTCCATGAGCTCTCATAGAGAAAACGGCTCATCTCATGTCCAGGAAGCAAAAGAAAGAGGAAGGGATGGGAGTTCTACAGTACTGCTTGGGACTATGCCCCGAAAGAACTAAGACCTCCCACAATGCCATTTCTCTTAAAGGCCTATAGTATCTCCTAATAGTGTCACCCTGGGGACCAATTCTCTAATATATGGGCTTTGGGGGACATTCAACATCCAAACTATAGGAATGACATAATGTTGGGATATAACATTTGTGACAAGAGAGCCAGTGGAGTTGAGCTGTCAGTTAAACTTGTTATTGACAGACAGCGGGCTTCAAGATCACTTAATATGGTAGCAACCCCATTGGAATCTTCAGTACGTGTTATTGTTTTTAGGGTCCCTACAAAATAATTTCTGAGATGTAATTTTGTGCTAGTTTGAAGGATTTCTAATTCCATATTAGATTTTTAGTCACATATTTAAATGCCAAAAAATGTACAAATTGAATTCCAGGCTCTCTGATTATTATTGTACAAGATACCTGCCAAGTATATAACAGAGAATGATACCCACATCAAATAAACTATATGCTCACCCTTTAGTAAGTGTAGGTATTCATAATTAGAGTTGAATAGATCCTAGTGTGTTACTAGCTTGACAAAGAGGTGTCTCTTTTAGGAGGGCTGTTGTTGCTCAGGTTCCCTTGTATAAGAAAAACCAATCCACTCAACCAGGGAACCACTGACCTTTTACTAGTTAACCCTTCAAATTGCCAACAAAGCACCAGGGGATCTTAAGTCTCTGAAGCAGGATTTTTACCTTCATAAGGTCAAGGATAGCTGTTAAACTCTGATGACAGTTTTCTCCCCGGAAAAATGCAAAATGTATATAGATTATTCTACCTACAATTTCAGGGTATTTCCATGCCCGTTTATAATAGTTACAGATGCCTTGTTTAAGATGGTGTGCAGGAAACCCACACCTGTACATCTACTTCTGCAATTAGTAAGGATTATCCTTGAAAACCCTTAAATTGCTCAAAGAGTAAGATATATCTGCTCTGTGAACTCGTACTTTGATGTATAATATACAATAAAAGACGATATGCAGGTGAAATTTTAGGTTGTTTTAAATTATGGGCAGAGAGGGAAGGAGGTAGAGAGACAGAAGAGGAGGGAAGGAAGAGGGAGAAAGGCATTTTAGTCTCCGAAGCCTCAAGTTGAACAGAAGAAGTGCACTGGGGATGCAGCTCCATACTGCAGGCCTGGCATACTCTGTAATGTCTAGAATAGTTGCTGTTCAGGGTTCAGATGCCCGTAATGCCAGAATGGGAGGTAGGGGTGTTTGAAATCACTGCAATTTGTTTCCTGTCTGGCATCAAGGGCATCCATCTTGCATCTCCCAGTCTTTCTCATCCTTGTAATGTTTGAAAAAATAGACAATAGTCACATGAAGTGAAAAATATCCAGTAAGTTACCATGGTTACTAATATACTTTCTCCATCAAGTTTGCAAGTTATATTGTGCTTTTATATTTCACTTGGCAATTTAAAAGTCAGCTTTTGATATGTGTGTATTCACTCATAAATCGTTACTTTGAATAAAGAATACACACATATACAAAGAACCAGGTTTGATTGGCTAATGGAAATTTGCAATCTAATTATTCTAGGCTGGAGTTTGGTGATCTGCAAATGTACTACCTTGTCAGAACACAGTAGACTTTTTCTCTAACTTTATTTGTTTTTTCTTTTTGTTTGGCCTCTCTGGCTCCTTCTCTGTGCTGCACCTCCTCTGGCAGCTGTGTAACGGAGGCTCAGTCACTGAGCTTGTCAAAGGCCTTCTCAGGTGTGGGGAACGACTGGACGAAGCAGTGATCTCTTACATCCTGTACGGGGCCCTCTTGGTAAGAATACCCATGGAGTAGAGGGAATGATTTGCCTACTGCTTAGATTCATATTACACATTAACAAAGGGAAAATAGCCTTGTAATAGTCAAGGATCAGCAACAGCAGGAAGGTAGAGCCAAATGTGGACTTGGATTAGACTATTAGATAGTACAATGATTGCTGTAATTCAAGTGGATGAATCTTCCCTTTCTCTCTCCTGTCATGTGGTGGTGCTGGGACGCTGTACAGGGACTTCAGCATTTGCACAACCACCGAATCATCCACCGTGATGTGAAGGGGAATAACATTCTTCTGACAACAGAAGGAGGAGTTAAGCTCGTTGACTTTGGTAATGGCTGTGCGTCATTTGTTTTCTTGATGTGTGCAGTTTAGCCAAAGGGGACAATTTATTGTAATCTCAGAAGACGGGGGCCTCTCTGCTACACCACAGGCTCAGGGACTTTTCCAGGCAAACAGGCTGCTGTGTGGCAGGCTTACCAGATGGATCACCCTAGGAGATGCTGTTTGTTAATTATTTTCAGCTTTCCAAGCAATTTTATTAAAGATAGAAAATAAAAATATTGCAAAAGAACATAGAAAACCTTTTTTTTTTTTAAAAAAAAAAAAAAGAATTTCCCATTCCAGGGCAATTGTCTATAATTTACATTTTGTTATCTCTCTTTTTTTCATATGAAAAGAGAAAGCTGCTTGTTTTTCAAACGATTTTCACTAGCCTTAGGCACACTTATTCCCAGTACACAGAAGGTAAAATAGTCCTTTGGGCCTGGGGAGATGTTAAATTGTGATTATCACTGCAACATGTGAGGCTGGTTGAACTGAAACATTAACAGGAAATGCAGACAGTGTCACCTGAGGCCAGAGAATATTAAATGTCTTATCCCAATGTTCATATTTTGATATTCATAAACTAACAAGCTATTTAGTTTTCGTTTTTAGGCATATGGAATGATTCAATCTTCTAAATGGGTTTGAGATGAGTTAGTACTTTGGGGTCCTTGTTACAAGTAATGAGAAACCATTTAGATCATTTAAAAATGTTATCAGTGTCATGATAGTAAAAACAACATGGACGATTTTTATATTCATTGCTTTACTGGTAAGAAATAATTTGGTATAAAAATGTGTCAGCAAATTATATGTGCGGAAGAAATTATTTAAAAATAAAAGAAGTTGCTTTAGCTGTGTTGGTCTGTTTTTTAAGTGGCAAACCAAGTAAAAAGGGGTAGAACAAGAACGTTGTCTAATGCTGTGCTTCTCTGGTAATAGGAGGAAGGGTACAACCTCAGTAATATGCTGTGTCTCTAGTAGATGGAGTTTCCACAGGATCCTGAGGACATTTAATATGTCAGAAGGGAAATAGACTAGAAGCACGAGGACAGAATTTAATACTGATTTATTCATTTGCCAGCTCTGCAAGTGGCTAGAGAGGAACAATTTCTAATCTTTCCAGTAAAGAGCTTTTCCAACATCCAGTTTCCACAAAAGAAATTTCTAAAAACTGAAGCCAGAAAGGTGTTGTTGCTTGTTTACCTATATTGTAAGTGGAGGACTTGGTAAAATGAAAATTATTTATGTCACAGTAATGTCTATAGTCCCAACTGCAGGGGTGGCTAAAGTAGGAGCATCCCTTGAGCCTGGAGTGTAAGGCCAGCCTGGACAATATAGTAAAGACCTTGTCTCAGGTATGGGGGGAGCAGCCTTTTTGGGGCTTTCTAATAAAAATAAAAAGCAAATGGCTGACCCAGCAACCACCCTGTGGGTCCTTGGTATGTCATCTAGATCTGATGTTCTGGAGGTGTGTCCTTTGCTAAGGAGCACACAGTATTTAGAGTTCTTGTCCTTACATGCATTAGTGGGAAGACTTCTCTCTCATTGTCTTCAGGGCTGTATTAGACTCTGCTTGGTATAAAAAAACCTCTTACATGTGTAAAGGACAGTACATGATTATGCTCTCATTTGGTCTTAGAAGAACTTCTGTTAGGTGTAATTGTTGTCATTTGAAGTTTGAAGTTTGAAGATGGGAAAAGTTAGGTACGGCAGTTATGTACTAGTAAAAGACATAATTGGGTTGGAAGGCAGGTTTCCAGACACTTAATCCAGTCTGCATTCACTTCCACTTTACTTCCAGATGGATCAGAGAAGAGAGGTCATTAAAGGGCATTGAAACAATATTAAAATTCAGGTCTTCAATGTTGAGCTTTAGATAATAATGCTACTTTCAGTTTCTTTTTCCATTTGAGAAACATCACTTTCTGGCCAAGTTTCTAGGCTTATAGGCAAGATAAGGCACTGAAATCTTTTTGTGTCTACACTGATGTTCTATTATAGATAATACATGCCAATCTTCTTCCTCCATAAAATGAAGTGCTTATTAAGAAAGAAATTGGCTGAAATAATTGGGAAGTATAATAGGAAGATATCTTGAGTTGATCTTAGTTGTTGCTATTTTTCTTTATATTTCAAATTTATAGCTATATTCACAGGAATATTTATTAGGAAAAGAAAGTTCTAGTGATTTAGACAGAATGATAAAAGCTCCATCACAAAGGCTGGCAAAGTACTTCTCATGGGCCAAATATGCCCAATTTGTATATAGCCCATGAGCTAAGAATTGTGTGTGTGTGTGTGTGTGTGTGTGTGTGTGTGTGTACATACACATTTGTTGTTTGAGAGCAGGTCTTGTTATGTAGCTCAGACTGGTCTCAAACTCATGGGTAGCCAAGGCTGGCCCTAGACTCTTGATCCTCTTGCAGAAGAAGGATCCCAGGTCCTGAGATTGCAGGCATGTGCCATCATACCTGGTTTGATTTTTATATTTCCAATTGATTGCTCAAAACTTGAAAGAATATATTGTTATTTTGTCTTTTTTTTTTTTTTTCAGAGCTGAGGACTGAACCCAGGGCCTTGCGCTTGCTAGGCAAGTGCTCTACCACTGAGCTAAATCCCCAGTCCCAAAAGAATATATTGTAATTTGTGATAACTATATGCAATTTGGGTTTCAGCATCCATAAATAAAGTTTTATTAGGGTGCAGCCACACTCATTCTTCGATGTATTTTCTATGACTGCATTAGCCTGATGGCAGCCATTAAGTAGTTCTGACAGGGACCATGTGATCCATGAAACCCAAAATATTTACTGTCTTGACTTTCCTAGGAAATACTACCAACCTCTAGTCTAGCATCCTTTGCTCAGTGTTGAAGTCTGGTATCTTTTCCTTCAGGTGTCTCAGCTCAACTCACCAGCACACGTCTGCGGAGAAACACATCGGTTGGTACCCCTTTCTGGATGGCCCCTGAGGTAAGCAGGGAACATCTAGTCCTTTGTACTTGCTGAGTCCCTTGGTGTTTCAGATTTTATGGGCAAGGCATATGCTGTCTGAAAAATTTCAGGCATAATAAAATCCTTCATCCTTATAAAACGCTAAAGTTCTAGTTTGGTGAGGGATGCTGATAAGCCTTAATCTCTGAAAAGTAGGATTAAGTCATTGCTAGTCCATAGGGAGCCTTCCTGCAATTAGGAAAAGGTGACTCTCCAGAAGAGCCAGCTTTCTCCAAGGGTCAGGGCTTGGCAAGTCCATCCAGCCTTTGTAAGTGTTAGAAAAAGTCACCTTTGCTGGATGGATGCAGCCCCAGTGATGCAGGGCTTGGTGACGATCCTCTTTAGCTCCAAGTAGCCTAGAGAGCTGAATACAGTGACCCTAGTTGTTTCTACCACATCACAGCAGCTTTTTTGTGTGCATTGTTGGCTTTCTGCAATAAAACAAGATTTGGTTCTAATTTTGCAGAAGTGAGGCATGCAGAAGTTCAAGAGCTTCCCAGCTTGGTAAGGCATATATGAATCACCTATTCAGTTTGCCTCTCAGGTCAGCATTTCATTATGCAGTTCCATGACCTTCACCTGAAACCAGCTGTCTGGGGGAGAGCAAATAAGTTCTTTAAATCAAAGGACACAGATGGCCACCTCCCTAGATGCCTTTCCATCTCTAGTCAGTTTGCATGGTCAGTCTTCTATGTGATGGTCAGTGTGGTCTCCTAAGACAGTAATTGGTTCACACCAATCTCTGCTCAGATTTCTTTGATACTCCCTACCACATATTGATAGGTAAAAAGTTGGCATATGATGAATAGGGTTGATCAGGAGAAAGCACCAGGACACAGATAAAACTCCATCAGAATAGAGTTTATTTACATGGGACAGATTCCCTTCCAGGCAGGGAAAATGTCTGCCCCAGGTCGTGAGCTGTTTTTTTTTAAAGGGGGAGGCTTCTGCTTCCTGCAGAAGGCGGGAAGATGTATTTTTTTTAAAGTTGGGCTCAGGGAAGTGAGAAAGCAGGACTCTTAAAACCTGTTCTCTTTAGAGATCAAAGGGAAAGCCTGTTGTGTTGGCCAAATAGTGGAGAAAAGTCTGCTTCTCTTGACTTCAACGACCAAGGTGCTTATTAACTCAGTTCCCTTTTCTCAGGAGTTTGAGAAATCTGAAGTCTGTGCAACCCTGTTGGTGAGGGGGCGGGGCTATCTGAACCTTAACACATATGGCCTTTCATTTTTTATTTGGATAGTGGATAGATCCATTTTAAACAAAGAAAAACTTGGCAGATTACAGTGTTTATTTATCTTGTGTTTTTTTTTCTTTTGGTCTTTTTGAGACAGGGTCTCCTAGTAGCCCCAGCTGTCCTGGAACTCACTATGTAGACCTGGCTGGCCTTGAACTCACAGAGATCTGCCTGTCTCTGCCTCCCAAGTGCTGGGATTAAAGGCGTGCGCCACCACACCCGGCTTATCTTAAGTGTTTCTTAAACAGGTTTAAAAATATGAAACTATATGGGGGTGCAGGGATCTCGGGGCGCCAGCTGCTAGTGCGCACCTGGGAAGTGGTGGGTCCCGCGGCTCGTCTGCTCCGCGTTGCTGGTGGGTCCCTGCTTCTCCAGTCTCTGTGGGTCCTGCTACGAGGGCTGGCCCGGTCGGGTTCCGCCCCAATTTCACCCGTGCACTTCCTCGAGGTGCGAGATCCGTCAGCTGCCGGATCATGCAGGAAGGTGCAGGACGGCTAAAGCTGGGTTTCCGTGAGTTGTGGCTTACAAAGAGAAAGCCCTCTCCGGGAAGGCTGGATCGTAGGCAGTAAGACACAGGACTCAGCTCAGTCAGTGGTACAGCCCCTCTATTCAGTGACTCAGCTCGGCTCCAAGTCTCAGTGATCCAGCTTCAATTATTGAGGGAAAACCAGGATACTTTATACTGGGGTAGTGGTAAAGAAGCCTTAGCTGATAGGTACTTTGTGGGATCCCCTATTTACATGTGGAAGTGGGCTCCTGCCAGGCTGCCAGACTGCCTGAAAATCACACAGGAGAACCT